GGCGGCGTGGCTGCCCGCAGGCCCCCTGGGGGGTGCCTGGGAGCCTTGGGGGGCTGGTTGGCTCAGACACTGCCCTCCCTGAGCCCACGAGTCCCTGGAGGGAGAAGGGTGCTTCATGTGGACACAGAAAGAACACGTGACCTTGTGCCACGGCCTTTTGGGGGGAGAGTTCCTAGTTGCGTGGGGCGGTTCTGCCCCTCCTGGCACTTCACCCCCGGTTGGCAGTGCCCTCGGTCTCTGTACTGTGACCCCACCTCCACCGCGCCATGCACAGCCCTGAGGGCAGCCAGGCAGCTGTGAACTTGGTGCCTCCCACTGTCTGTGTGCACGCGATGTGTGAGCCAGTGTATACACTCAGTATGTATGCATAGTGTGTGTGTGCATGGTGTGTGTGTGCATGCTGTGTGTGTGTGCACACGATGTATGAGCCAGTGTATATGCTCAGTATGTATGCATAGTGTGCGCGCGGTGTGTGTGCGCACGGTGTGCGGTGTGTGTGCGGTGTGTGTGCACGGTGTGTGGTGTGCGCGCGCGCGCGGTGCGTGGGGCGGGCGCGGTGCGCGGGGTGTGCGCGGTGCGCGGGGGGGTGTGCGCGGGGCGCGGGGGGAGTGCACAGTGTGTGCTCGTGTGTGCACAGTGTATGTCCTTTCTCCCCTCAGTCGCTGCACATGCAGAGAAGCGACGCGGACCTGCTGAGGACGAAGCTCCGGCGCCTCGAGGAGGAGAACAGCCGGAAGGACCGGCAGATCGAGCAGCTGCTGGACCCGTCCCGCGTGAGTGTCCGCCCACGGGTGGTGCCCTGGCCAGAGCGTGGCCGGGCGGTGGGCCTGCCTGCGTGTCCTCACATCCTGCTCTGCTCACACAGGGCCCGGACTTTGTGTGGACTCTGGGAGAGAAAAGGCCGGACGCTGGCTGGGTGAGTGTCAGCTGCAACCGGACAGGCAGCCTCGCCGCCCGAGGGAGGCGCCTTCTCTCTAGAGCGCCCGCCTGCCTGCCCGCCCGGTGAGGCAGGTTTCGCCAAGGGGCTCGGAGCTTCTAAGACCCTCCTCCCGGAGCCCAGCATCGCCAGACGCCGCTGAGGGCCTGGGAGGGGCCGGGAGGGGCCGCAGAGGGTGGGCTGAGCAGCTCCCGCAGGTGGAATCTGGTGTAGGAGACGCGGTCACAGGCGCCCCCACCAAACAGGCGCTGGGTGCCGCGGGCACCTGGTTCCGAGCAGGAGCCGAGCAGGAACAGAGGAACCCCCCCTCCCCCGCATTATTTAACACACGCGGCCAACGGAGGGACCGGCAAT